GCGTGACGTCCAGAGCCGCAGTCTGGGGCTGTGGGAACGCTGCCGGGTGGGATCGCGTAGACGTCAGACTCGTCTGCAAGTGTCGTAGGCCTTTGTTCGTGCGCGTGCTAGCTGGAGTTCTTGCAGCGCGATGGGACTTGTGGCCGCCACGAAGGAGCCAGACCCACGTGGAATTTGTAGTGGTCCAGCAGTTTCCCTGCCCGAGCATGTTAAAAATTGTAGTCCTCACCGGGCGTGGTGGCGCCCGCCTGTAATCCCAGCGACTGAGGCAGGAGGATCGCAAGTTCTAGGCCAGCCTCGCAATTTAGCGAGAACCTGTCTCAAAAATAAAAGGGACTGGTTGGGATGTAGCTTAGTGGTAAGGCGCCCTGGGTTCAATTATGTGAGTTTGTATGTGTAATGCCGTCATTTTAGTCGCCTTATACGTTGGGCAGCTGAAACCGAGTCGACTTTCCCCACCCCTGGCAGGAAACTCAAGGTGTAGGAGGGAGGGTGGTTAGTCTTACACACCCTGATTGTGGGCCAGGTGTGGTGCAAGTGTTAGCTCATTTACAATTAATGTAATATAAAATGTCTCTTCAAGACGTCGTATTCTTTGGTTCAACAAACATTCTTTCGTCGGACGCCGTGACACACGCCAGTAATACCAGCGGGTCGAGAGGCTGAGGCAGGAGGATCGCAAATTCAAAGTCAGTTTCAGCAACTTAGCGAGACCCTGTCTCAAAAGGAAAAAAATAAAAAGGGACTGGTAGATATGGCTCAGTGGTTAAGCGCTCCTGGGTTCAATCCCTGGAAACAAACAAAAACTTGCTTTTTTTTACCCCCAGTGCGGGAAGTCCAATCCAGGACAACAAACATGTCTCAAAATCTTAGACTGGCTAGTAAGTGGAAGAACTGGTTCTGGAACTCAGTAAGTCCGACTTCATAGTTACATGATCTTTTTGACAAGTTATGTGGGGATAACAAAGACTACCTTCCTTCCTTCATTCAACCTATCAGACTACTCTCTGGCTGAAGCAGAGCGAAAACAGGGGTGGATGCAAGAACACCAGTAGGTTGAAGCAACAAGCTTCCCAGGTGCCATGCTGAAGGACAGCTGCATGTTTTAGGGAAAGAAGAGGTGGCTGTAGCGAGTAAATGAAGCGCGCTGTTGGGGAAGCCGGGGAGGCAAGGTCAGCAGCCTAGGTGTCATTTCGCAGCAAAGAATTTTCCAGCAAGACACTGCCTGTCCTTTCTGCATGGACACTGCCGGAAATCCACAGTTTATAAACTTCTACTAGGTTTCTGTACAAGTTACTCCCTCCCACCTCCTCTTTTCGCTTGTGGTTTGACTGAGATTTATTTCCATGTTGCCATTCCGACTTTACTCTCAGTATTCAGGTGTCCTCCTGTGGGACCCAGGAGTCTGTCATTTCTTCCATTGTTAATGAATGAAAACCATTTGATTTTGAAAAATTTTGCCTGGAGACAGAAAAGTAGATAGCAATTCAGTAAAAGTTTTCAATTAAATGAAATGTACGTTGTAAAGAACTGTTGGGCTGCCATACAAATTCACAGACAGCATAAGAGAGAAAAATTAAATAGGATTAGTGATTTGAGTGCTTGTAGGGATATGCTGACACAAAGATGTGGGTGGGTGTTCAGGGGGATGGAAAGTAGATCCGATGGTGGACATTTTAAATGGCTTCCATGATTTTGGAAAGTTGTGAGTCCCCTACTAAGACATGAATGGGAGCAGTAAATAATTCAGGCCTTACAAATCAACTAGATGGATTTCATTTTAAAAGATGAGTCTGGAGGAGGCGCACTCTCAACCTGTAATTAATTTTTTTGTTTCAAAACTTACTTGAAAGGTATGGAAAACCACATATATATAATCATAAACAAATTATAGAAAGAAGTAAAAATCCCTTCCCTTCTCTCACCTTACCCAACCCTAGGAGTTATAGCCATGCCAGAGGGGCCCAGCTTCCCATGATTCAAATTGTGGTTTTTTTTTTGTTGTTGTTTGTTTGTTTGTACTGAAGAGTAAGCTCAGAGGCAATTTACCACTGTGCCACAGCCTCAGTCCTTTTTTAAAAAATTATCATTTTTTGTTTTGAGATCGGGTCATTTTAGTTGCTGAGGGCCCTGCTAAATTGCTGAGGCTGGACTTGAACTTGCGATCCTCCTCAGCCTCCTGAGCTGCTGGTATTATAGGTAGGTACACAGCCAAGAGCCTGGCTTGGTTTGTGAATTTTAAATCTAGGATGGTGCACAAGTGATGTGCATTCAGCAGAACTTATACTTTGAATTTAGAATTTTGATATCTTCCCAGGCTTTCAAAATGTGTTTTATTCTCTAACAATGATGGGCAGTGGTAGGAAGCTGCCCCTGGCAGTCAGCCACTACATCACAAAGGTAAACAATTGATACTCTATAGTTCTCTGTTGTTGGTGCTTTTGGGATACAGATATTAAATAAATTACATGAGATTTTTCAATACTTTTATTATAAAATAATCTGTTGGACGATTTTACCCAACTGTAGACTAATGGAGCATGTTTAAGGTAAACTAGGTAATCTATGATATTCCCTAAGTTAGGTATATTAAGTGGATTTTTTACTTACTATGTTATTAATTTATGATGGATTTATCAGGATGTAACCCCATTTTAGGTTGAGGAACATCTGTATTAATAACTTGGTAGATATTTTTTTCATTTTCTTAAGGTTATATATATGTATATATATAATTTTTTGTTTCAAAACTTACTTGAAAGGTATGGAAAACCACACATACACAATCATAAACAAATTATAGAAAGAAGTAAAAATCCGGGCTGGGGATGTGGCTCAAGCGGTAGCGCGCTCGCCTGGCATTCGTGCGACCCAGGTTCGATCCTCAGCACCACATACCAACAATGATGTTGTGTCCGC